GGTACATTTTTTCACTGGGGGGTTTAATCTCGGCAGAACCTAGAGACATTCTGTCTTTCTCTTTCTAATTGAATACGTTCTATTCTACTTTTAATATATACTGCTCAGTGACAAGGATCCCAGGTTGTGTTGTGGTGTCAAGTATTGTTTGGCTCATTTTTCTCCCTTTATCTTTGAAATTGCAGGCTCTATTGCAGATGCAGGACATTCCATCTGCCATCAATTTGATGCAGTACTATACTACAGTGCAGCCAAGCGTGCGGTGAGTTGAGTAGTTCAACAGTATCTCGATCTTCTACGTCGACTATGCTTCACCATTTTAAATAAGTTTGCTGATTCTAATTCTTGGGTTATGCAGGGGAAGGAATGTGTACATGCAGTTCTCGTCTCATCCGGAATTAACCACACCTGATCAAAGCGGACAAACGAGGCGGTTACCTGCAGAGCAGGTCAGAATCGGATCTTGATCCCAGCTACAGTGTGTTCCTCCTGATACTTCTCTGTGGGTATGCGAGACTTCTTCCCAATAGGCAGGCCTTAGCCTCTCTTTTGCTTGTCTTTCTTCTCTGGCTACTCTCACTTCTTTTCCCCCTTCCTTCTTCCCATGCTGGGGAAACGTTGGACTTGTCTCTGCTTTGCTATTCTTCAGGAACTGCTGCCCAATCGAATTCTTTTAATTACCATACACAACCCGCTCTATCCTATCACCGTGGATGTGCTGCACCAAGTGTTTTCCCCCCATGGCTTTGTCGAGAAGATCGTCACCTTCACAAAGTCAGCTGGTCAGCTTCTCTTCTGTCTTGGCTATCTCTCTGCCTTCTGCCTTTTTCGGGCCCTTTTCTTTCACCATTTTTCTCTTTCTGGCGGGTAGTCAAAGGTGGGCGCGGGCTCATACCAGCCGTAGTAATTGGAAAATAATAGTACGTGGTAGAATGTGTTGTGGAGGCAGTGTGTTGAAGGAGCAGGGTTTGATTGTTGAGGGAAAGCGGTGGCTGTGGAAGTACAGCAGTAAGCTTGGCCAAGGTTAAAGACCTTTGGGATGTGAGTTGGAAGGCCGTGGGTGTTTGGGGAAACGGTCGGTTTGCGTATGAAAGGGTGGTTGTAATGGCATAGGTAGTATGAGATGTGATCGTGTATGTGGTGTGGATTGAATCACAGACATGTTAGCACGTGAAGGTTATATTGAGCGTGAAGTAGGAGTCTGATGTATTGGAGGTGAGGCTGTGGTGTGGAATGGTAATGATGTGTGCAGGCCTTCAAGCTTTGCTGCAATATGCTTCGCAGAGCAGTGCAGTCCAAGCCAGGTCGACTTTGCAAGTAGGTGGTGTTATTTGGACATGTGTTTGTTTTTGTAGTATTTTGGCATTTTGGTATTTTATGATAGAGATGGTGATGTGGTTGAAGGGAGGTGACAAGAGGAGTGGTTGCGTTTGCAGGGGCGCAATATCTACGATGGATGCTGTACGCTGGATATCCAATATTCTAAGTAAGTGCACCCAACGTTGAGCTTAGTTGGTATGTAGTGCGGGACATGAGCTTCTTCTTTGTTGTGCATTCTTTTTTGGGGAAGAGGAAGCTGAAGTGGGTAGCATTGTATTTGAGGACACGGAGCAAATATTTGGATATATTTGAGACAGGAGGAGTGTGCTGAAACAGTGATTTGATGGTGTGCAGTCTGCAGGAGCTGCAGGTGAACTATAACAATGAACGGACGAGGTATGTGCGGGGTTGGTGTTATGTCTAATGTGACGAAATTTGTGGTAGAGGGGCAGAGGAGCAGATAATTGGTGTCCAACTGTAGCATGTGGTGTCCTGAATTGTTTACATTCATTCCAAGACATTGGATTGTGCAGTACGGTGTGTTGTTCGTGGATGATTTTGTTGTTGGCGCGATGGTGTGGAGAACGGTGAGGTGGGCGTTGAATGCTTTTGATTGTTCCTCTTCAGGGATTTTACCAATGCAGCTTTGCCATCGGAGCAGTCTCGACCAGGGAATCCTGGGAATAATATCATGGTACTGTTGCATTGATTTTTCCTCATTTATCTGATTTCTTATCGGGTCTGTGCTTATGTATGCTGGTGGTGAGTAGATAGTAAAATCTTTGACTTTAAGTGAATTGCCAAGGGTGTGAGCATTGTACTGGTTGGGGTTGTTTGTTCAGCATTTTGCTGGCAGAGCATCCTGAAGAGCTGAATGTGCTTGTCTTTCTTGGATATAATAAATGTCTTATTTAAAGGAGGTTTTTGAGTTAGCGCGTATAACTTATGTTCGAAACTTGTGATATGTGTCACTTTTTCCAACGAGGGGTGTATTTGCTGCAGTCTTCACTCTTTGGAGAGGGCGGGCATGTGTACAGCATGGGGGCAGGAGGGCCAAGGCCTGGTATGCTCCGCATCTCTATCATGGTAACAGTTCATGTGTTTCTGTGTTGGGAAAGTTGTTTAAGATTAACGAAGCATGCCGAGGCTGACTTGGATTTTGGTGGAGCAGGAGGATTTCAGCAGTCAGGAGGTCATCCGGCACTAGGGATGAATTCATACGGCCAGGTAGAGGGTGACGAATGCTAAGAACCATGGGATAGAGTTGATCGTGAGTTGGTTGCAGCTGTTGTGGGAGATATCCGTCTTGGAGGATGAAATTGTTTGGAAGTATTTGACGGATGCATTATGATGGTGGTGGTGTGTAGGTTGCCATGGGAGGTGCATCTGCGGCTGCTGCAGCGTTCGGTGGTGTGCTTCCTCCGGGTATCACAGGCACGAACGATAGAAGCACCTTGCTCGTTTCGAACCTTGTGCCAGAGGTAAATCGTCGAGCATTTGTAGGAGTGGATGTTGTGGAGTGATGAGGTGTAGGTTTTGTTGAGGAGAACAGATGGGAAGGGAGGGCATGCGAGGGTGGGGACTCTTCGAAGGTGCAGGTTTTTGAGGGAATGGAAAGTGGGATGATTGTTGTGCAGAAAATTGATGCTGATAGACTCTTCAACCTGTTTTCGAACTACGGGAACATTGTGCGCATCAAGATTCTTCATAATAAGCCAGACCACGCTCTGATTCAGATGGGAGATGGATTTCAAGCAGAGCTGGCTTTCAACTATCTAAAGGTATGCTAGTATTTTCTGGAGTTGAATTACTTGTTTTGAAGTGTTGTTTAGTGAACAGAGGCTGAGTTGAGCACGGCGACGGAGATACCATGTGTGGGGTAGTTTCTTTTGTTGTGGACGATGTCGTGTGGAAGATGCGGTTGGTGAGTTGGAAAGGTGGAGAATTTGGGATGTGCAGGGCGTGACACTGTTCGGAAAGCGCATGGATGTCAACTTCTCGAAGCACGCGCAGATCAACCCGTCACCAGACACTAGCGATTTCTCATCGTCTCCTTTGAATCGGTTTAATCGGAATGCTGCGAAGAACTACCGGTACTGCTGTGCCCCAACGAAGATGATTCATGTGTCGAGCCTGCCAGCGGATATTGCTTTGGAAGACATCACGAGTCACCTGTCTGCGCACGGGACGGTCGCAAACGCGAAGGTATTTGAGTCGAATGGGAAGAAGCAGGCTTTAATGCTGTTTGAGAGTGAGGAACAGGCGACAGAGGCGCTTGTGTGCAAACATGCGAGCCAACTGCAGAGCAACACCATCCGGCTTGCATTTTCAAAGCTGGCCTCCGTGTAGTTGTAATTTAGCATAGCTGTTAGGTGGATAGGCATCGTAGAGCTTTGGGCACAATTTTGTAGTTTGGAAGAGTATCTGCGAAATCGGTTGCTTATCATTGTAATTGAATGGCATATACTGTAATGACCTATTGGATGCGAATAGGAATGAGCAACAGGAGATAGTTCTTCCGTCTTCCGTGCCGGCGGAGACAGTTGTGTCGATATATAATCATCCCACCTGCCTTCGCTGTTGTGGTTACTGTTTTCGAAACTTCTTCTTCTTTAGTTTTATGCAGTTTTTGTTTGCAATTTCATGGCGGTCTTATTTAAGTCGCACTGATTATTTGCATCATGATCTAATTTTGTTTGCTCTGTTAAAACTTTTAAGTGGTAATATTCTTGTTTCAGTATGTTTGCGCGGTTGGTTAATGGGTATCGCTCTCGATTAAGTTGGTTGATTCTTGATGCTATTGTCAAGTGTACCCCTGTTGCTGGTTAGTTTTCTTGGACTTTGTGCTTATCCATTTTAGTCTTGCAGACGCTCCCTTTTTACAAGTAATAGATCCAGTTGGTTGAGCTCTAATATTTTGATAAAGATGCATTTTTACGACGAATGTTTGCATGTGAAGTGATTTCATCAGATACGGCACTAATTGTGGGATCATAAAGAATTGATATCAGATATGTCATACCTTCTCCTTGAACTGCACGTGGGGCAACAATGATGACTTTTGGAAGGGTGACTTTGTTCCTAGTGATAGTAGATGGCGGAGTTGAGTTGGTCGGTGTGGTGCGGTTTGACTTTGCTGGCAAGTGACATTGCTGGCAGCCGCTTCATGCATGTAATAACCATTTTTTTTTCCTGCAACGCTCAGTTCTTGGCCCGATTCTGTGTAATTAGGCACTGGCAGCACAATGTTCCCGTTCATCCGTGTCGAGGATCTTCGGCTTCCCGTTTCTTATACCGTAACAAACTGTGTCTGCATTAAAGCTCGCTGTGAGTTTGTCATTCATTGCAGTCCTTTTTTGAATTCTACGTAAATTGGTTTTACGATGACATCTTTTGAATAGTGACTCTTGATTGAAAAGGGAGTTGGGAAACGGGTTAAAAGCACTTGAAACAATGAAATGTAGAACAATCACTTGTAAAATTTAACTCAATAAATTATTATACCAATTTAATCTTGAGATTCTTACATTTGCAGTAGGTGTACAATTTTGTCTCTTAGGATCTGGTTTCAACCTTGATTCACAATCATTTTTTTCTAGATATCAATCTAAGGTTCTTTTAGGTAAGTTTTGCTGAAAGCTACTCTTTATTTTTACCTTGTTTGTACCTTGAGATTATATTTTATGTTTATTTTTATTTTATTTTACCATAATACTCATTTAAACACACAAATGTTTTGAACTTATTATGCTTTTGTCAAGCTTCCGTGCACTTTTGTAATAATTGGTGCATTTGCCAAAGCATTTGTATTAGTGCAAAATATAACTAACAGGAAAGTTTTTTGGCAATTGACAATGTTGTACATATTCTTGGGCATATTATGCTTATTCCAAGCAATCATTCTTGCTGGTTTTTTCTCAATGGACTTTGGTCCCATTGGTTGTCTTGTCATATTTGATTTTTGTGTTTGATGATGATAGAATTTTAACATGCATTCCAATTAATAAATTTATAAAAGACAATCTTTATTACAAGCTCAATATGTTTGCATTCATAGATCTTCCGAGCATATTTAAGTTATTTTTATAGCAAGTCTTTTATTTCATGATTGTTTTGTTGATAAATTTTTATACTTATCAATTTAGATATTTATTCCTTGTAATTCTATACTAGCATCAATATATTGTTTTTAATATATAATTCTTATTTTATTCAAAGTGTTTGTTTAAATAATTTTTTTTTGTGATTGTTACTTCTTGATGAAGTTTTTTTTATCATTTCCTTTTATATAAAAAAAAAAATTAACTCTTAAAATATGTTTGTTGTTATTTTTGAGATATAATTTCTTTTTTTCTTGTGGTGAAATCTTTTGTTTTATAAAATTTTGGATATGTTTGTAGAGAAGTTAAAGATTGTGCCACAAATACCAAATATATATATATATATATATATATATATATATATTATTGTTATTGATTGGAATTAGTGTTATTATATATATATATATATATATATCTAAATATGTGTGTGTGTGTGTGTATGTGTGTGTGTGTGTGTATGTATGTGTGTGTATGTAATTTATTGCAAAAATATATGGCTAAGTAAGAAGATTTATTAAAAACTTGGATTAGTAAATCCAATGGCAAATAATAGTATTTTTGTGTATAAAAATTATAGCCTTTATGTTTATAAACTATTGTTGGTTTTGTAATCATCTATAAAAAAAAAGTTTTTACAAAATAATAAGTTTATAAACTTATTAAATATTCCACTAAGAAAGAATAAAAGACCAAATCACTGTGATCCAATTGGATGTATGAAGCCAAAATAGATAATAATGATTCTTAGATAATACTTTTAAAGCTACCTCTATAATAAAAAATCAAAAAATCAAAATAAAAATTAGAAGCTTCTAATGCTTACTTTAACTACCAACACTTGAGCCAACTGATGAAATGAAATATAGAATTCCATCTCTAGAGTGGCTCACATTAGGATTCAAGACAACGGAATGACAAAATCCCTTAAGCAGTTAAAAGCAAAAAAAAAACAAAACAAAACAAAACAAAGCAAACGGGTTCGATAAGTTCACATTCAGCAAGTGAGAGCGAATTTTGTGAAGAATCGACGAGGGATTTATGTGGCACCAACTGCCGAAGAGGCTTCCTTCGTCCAAAACAACACATGCTCAACATCTAAGCAGCAGAAGACTTAATCAAAGCAAAATGAACTGAATCACTAAGAAAAAAACCATTCGTGATAAACTTGACATAACGCAATCCCTACTGTTTCATTGAGCTAAAAGCTGCTGTTTGGCAATGCGGTGTGAGGCCTGGATGATCAATTGCAAAGTAGCACTGAAAATGGGCTTCAAGTTGAGAATTCCACTTCATTCTTAGAAAGACATAAGGGGCACATTGTCTAAAGTAGAAATAGCATTCTTGTCGATGAGATCATGGTTTATCAGAGATGGCAAGTCATTCGCCGCAGATCGCATTATGTGAAAAACCTCCTCTTATTATTCGAATGTTTAGTGTTTTCACACTTTTCACCAGCATGATGCTTACGTTGCAATAACTTGCCTACTTGTCTAGGAGAATTCTGTGGTACTAGCAGTGCTTTGTACAGAAACACTAACTCAATCCGTTGTGATAAGCGAAGGACTTGCTCTTTGCGGTACTATTCGGAAACCAGGATTCGCAGTTGTAGTATTAGTTGTAATGTGCACTGCTAACTATAATCCTACTAGTTGACTCCCCACGAAGTGCTCCTGGACCCTGAACGAAATTTTGCTATCTGGGTATGAGCAAAATCTCGTTTTGGCTTGTTGGTCAGGTGAGCATTTGATCAGAACGTTTTCTCTGCTCCTAGTTGTTACTCTTTCGTCTTAGGTTAAACGTGATGAAGCTCCATGGTCAGAACCTTGACTTACGACAGTCTTCCTTGTAAGTTATACCATTGACTGCATTAGAATTACAGGATCTACGCGTGATTTTAATTCGCTTCATGATGTCCATGCCAATGCCAGAGGATTCAACGTGGCACTGGATAGTCGTAACCTCATATTTTCCATTTGAAGGGCGGAGATGGTAATCACTTGGACACTATAAATCTTCCCCACAGCTTTCTTAGTGGTCAGCCAATGCGCGATCAAGTTCTAAACCTAAGGCAATTGCAGAAACACAGAAAATGATGGCTCTTGACGCTCCCACAAAGAAACGAATCAATCTCACACGTCCTGCGACCTGGGTGACATGAATTTTCGTAACCAACCTTGATTGTGTTGTTGTCTGGTTGTGCATTTCAAAGAGCTAGATTACACACTTTGAGTCGGTTTGGAAGGCACAGATGTCTGCTTTCTAGGTAAAACACAATCAACGACATGAACAATCCTCAGTATGGTCTCAACTGAAGTATTCCGTAGAAATTATCTTTACAGTCGATTGGCTAAGGTATATGATTTCTCACACTTGATTGGTCAGTTACCGAGATGCTGGGCATTTTAGTTGATGGGATACTCAGCTGCAGAATTCGCAGAATCGATGTCATACCGTAGGATTCCAGAGGATTCGTTCCATATTTGCAAACTAGGGGATAAACCTCAAGCTAACGTGTAGCCAAACATTTCAACTTTGTAACACGAAAACCGGTGTGCAGAACTCAGGCACACTCAAGCACTAGGGCTCAAGGACGACTCAAATACTCCAAGCAATCAGAAGCCTTCATCAAGGTAACGAGGAGAATAACTACAGTAGATATCACGACCTAATGTTACATTAATGTCTACGAAAATGTACCTTCGTTTATACATTGGATAAACGAAAATTATGATCAAATCTGCAAGTTCACTCCTCAGCCTACCTCATTCTTAGGGTTACACCTCAGTAGGGCAACCAATGCGAGGTTATCATTCCAACACAAAGACCAGTGGTAAGATCGCTTCGGAAACTAAGAAATCGGATCAGGAAATAGAGATGCCGCCTTCTATGTTCCCGTTTATACAATGAGATTCACTGCCACTGCCAAATCGGCAAAGTAGACGTGAAGTTCGTCAATCTACATCTTAAATGCTAGTGCACAAATTAACACAAATTCAGTCAGAGTACGGCTAGAGACATCGAATTTGAGCGCAACCATAAGCTTGTGTAGTAAGAGGTCTTAAACTCCACAAGCTGCACGTAACTTCACTACGATCCCTTGGGACCATTCAGAATCGGAATGTCAGAGAAGTCGGCGAAATTGTATATCAAATACACATAACCACCTCCAAAGACTGTCAAACACACCAGGAGGACGGCAAACCAAAGTGCACCGCCGAAGGACTGCCCTAAGGCTTTTTCTATTTCCTCCACTTTGCCATTGAATTCCGACTTGACACCGGGATCTGCATACACAACAAAGGAATTCTACCGTCAGCTCAAAACCGAAAAAACTCAAAATCGTTATACAAGAGACAGAGTCATAGGATACTCGTATTCACCTCTCTCAATCTCTTTATCATCGTCTCCTGGTGCTCCCGCTCTTCTGCAAATGCTCGGCAATCTTGCAGTCCGTCTGTTGAATGCCGGCGCAATCGTTAAAACGGAGCTCTGCTCTAATCCTACTAGGTGTCTTCTAACATTTGCCGAGAACACGTGCTCTGGTTTCGAGAAGCATACTAATGGCAAAAACCCGCTGCTGGCTCCAATTGCAACACACCTAGCTGCCATTGTTGTCGTCGTGACAAACTAGGATAGACCTATTGCACAAGTTGTGCTTCACTTGGCCGGCATCAAATTTGCTCCTAACACAGCCGCTGATGAATTTCCAAACGTACCTCAATTAAAGGGATTCAGTACAGTCTTAAGAACTTCACCAATTCAAGCTGGTCGAGAGTTAATGTAGCGATAGCTTCGCACAGTATCTCCACTTTGCCAGTTGTGAAGACACGGTAGGAGGGGAAAAGTTCGGGATGGAGGATAAGGTCCTTCAAACCTTCCAACAGAACAAGTGAACGTAAAACTTGTTTTCGTTCACGATTGTGATCGACGAAAGCTAACGGCGTTCTTGTCGGCGTAAACGTACGAACAAAGAATCATGCCTTCCTTCACAAGTGCGAAGCGTAATGTTTCTCTTCAGAACGATCTCTTGCAGCGGAAACATGGGCCTCGAAATTCGAACTCTGTTTCCATCTGAGCCAATGCCTTTGTCAGTGAGAGCAGAACAATGTTGGTCTAGGGAAAACAACCTGCTAGAATCACGCAGGTTGATGAAATTTAGGAGTCATGGTGTGCTCTGCGCGGCAAACACTTGGGGAAGTTCTGGGAATAGGATTTTGCGAAGGCTTTCGGATTTTTCAAGCGTGGTGGTTTCCTTGGGCAATTGTTCTTTAGATAAGCGACGGATTAGGTTGGACCGCAGGAATGCCCATCAGACTCGTAGGCATGATTTCACTGTTTTTGCGATGCCTTTCTCCGGTGACTCAGATGATGAACCACAAACGTCTCCCGAAATCACACCTATGTCATCAAAATACCCTTGTATGTATGTCAAGAGCGCGGTCTCTTCCGGCGAGACCATTGAGTATCCAGGAACCATCGTTGTAAGAGTTTTCTGCTAGATTCTTGAATTTAATTTACTTTGTTGGGTTACTGTTGTTACCAGTTAAACCTAGGTTTTCTGAGTTGCGTCACACTGATCAACTGCCAGAAAATTGCCAATATCTGTTTAGATTGTACACTTAGGGCATATTGTAATGGAGCTGAAATTGCCTTAGGTTCCTTCAGATTCTTGGCGATGTGCATGAAGGAGGAGCCATTGTGGCAGGTGGTGACATTGTGGTAGTAGGCCGGCTCCGCGGGTCTGTTCACGGCGGTCGGAACGGTGACAGGGGGGCTGTTGTCTACGCTACGCAGCTGGATGCTTGCCACATTCGTATTGCTGATGCAACCTTTGTTACCGAGTCGCATTTTTCTGACCGTCCTGCAATTGCCTCGATTCAAGAAGACGGCAAACTGGAGTGAGTTGTTCCTTGAACCCTAACTTCAGCATTCTTCAAATGGGATTTCTCTGGTCTATCCTTGACTTAGCAATTACGTCTCATCACCCACAAATAAGTTGCAATTTTTGCACACGTCGGGCTCTGAGTATACATGGAGCTGTTTTAACATCCTTAATGATCGCATTTTGCATGCTTGATGTCAGAATGATGTTTGTTGTCGTACTTAACTGGTGCTGCATCCAAGGGTTCTGACTGGTGCGTGACATAGTGTAGCATCCGTGCAGCAGTTCGAAAGTTCGAAGACAGCAAGTCCCCCAGTAATTCCTGCACATTAAATTCTGCAGTGGTGAAACAGTCACTGCAGACGTCCAAAGGCTCCGAAAGCAAGGATTTGAAGTTTTCAAGGCGACCAGCACAGCTCGCACTGTTCACCGGCGTATACATTAGTGTGGTTGGTATGGCATTGCTCGCATTTCCAACATTTCTCTTTGGTGAGACTCCTACCTCCTCGAAGAAACTGTGATGTTTCGTTTTGGCATATTAAGATGATCTTTTCCAGCAAGCAGTCACGATTCTTGCTGCGAGTACTGAGAATCATTCGACTAACATATTGTAGGTATATCCTGAATGATTTCGATGTAGGGGCTTTGTTTGACGTGCGCAGCGTTACTGTGGGGTGGATACGAGTTGGAGCGATCCTGGCAGTGGTAGTCACTTTGACGAGTTTACTTTGTTTGACTTAATAGCGTCCGTAGTTCTTTTAAATGCTGAGATTGATTGGCATTGAGAACTACAGTCCACAGACTACGGACTACAGTCATCACGCGTCCAATCTCCTGTTCAAAATGGGTTTGTTCATAATTGCACCTCAGAATACCTGCATTTTGTGCTCTGGCAAGAAGTTAGTAGACCTTGTGGGGCTAAGAACTAATTACATATCTGCAGGTCTTTGGAGTATACTACATCGGAACAGCTATTGGTGATCTGAGAGGAAGGTCAGGCGCTCGGGCATTCTACACGTCTACCGTCGTAGGCCGTGTGGTAAATAACCTGACATCCTTACAAACCGAGTCTTTGATGAGTCTGAATTCTTCACCTTTAGGAATCTGATCACTGTTTTATATTGTGACACAAGCATGGTAGCTTCAGGATGTTAATCTCTAACATGCTTCGTTGTGTGCAGTTCCTATTTTTTGGATTTTGTTGGCTTGTGGCTGTTGGTGCGGCTCAACCTGCTCTCGTCATGGTAAACTTTTCTCGCTTTTTAAGATTGATGAAAATCTTTTGACTCTCAATCCTGCTGACTAATGTCTCATTGTTGATATCAGAATAGGTGGGAGATCTAACGACTTGACATTTCCTTTGCAGGTGGGTACCGTTAATATGTTGGGGGCCATGTCCATGCTATTTGCCTTGCGGCAAGCTCCTGAAGCAAGCGTCCCCAACACTTGAATAATGAGTATTTAGCAGCAACGTGCCGCTTTTGCGTTACTGCATTGTCATTTAGTCCAATATATCTGGAATGGGTGGAATTGTATATAACATGGTCTGCAGAAAGCAAACAGGAAGACGTGCCAGCTAGACTCCCATGAATTTCGGCTATTTCCTGTTTCAAGCCCAACCAAGGTGCAAAAGCGTGTAGATACCTCATTTTATCATTTGAAGCTCGAGATACGTTCAACTTCACGTCGAATGCTCCACATGTCGTTTTCAATTTTCTTGACTCACAATTTTTTTGACTATGTAAAAGTTTGTTTGTAACTCATTTGATCTTTTTTTTTGAAACACCCCACCTCCTTTCACAAAGAAATGTAGGGATTCAGAGCACCAGTTGCATGATAAATCTGGTTGTTTTTACAAGTTAATGCAATGCCTGATTCTTTATACTAGCTCAGATTGAAGAAACGTGGAAAACATGAACGAGAATGGGCGAGTTCTGTAATGGCACAATTAAGCCCAGGCCACACCATTTGTAAGTAACAACAGTCACCACCTTTTTTTTGTATAATATCGCATCCCCTAAGAAGATTAGATAGTACGGAACTCTAAATTCACAAGTATTTTCTTTTGAGTTCTACTGTACGTAGAGTACTTGCTCTGGATTTCTTTGTAGCGAATGCAGTAATTCAAAACTTCATTTGACGTCCATGAGGAAACGGCTCCGTTTAGAGCACAATCTGCTCTAGGATTAGTAGGAAGGTATGAAAGTAAGCTGTCCACAATTAACTTTGCATTGTGTGCCAATTTTGGCAGATTCTTCGGCAACAAGGGATACCCTCTACTCGTACTTTAATCACTTCCAAGTTTTCGAGGACCCCACAGCAAAGTTAAACCAAGCATTTCTTGAACATCAAGCACTGACATCATGCCCTCCCCCTCAATCATATCACAACTCACTCTGTTCACCATTTTCACATTCCTGATTCAGTCCCAATCAAGAATCCGTGTCACTCGACGCGCATTCTTGAAGCTGATGTCAGATGTAGTGAAGTGACAAGAATTGCCGCATATGCAGGAGCAACCGCTAAAACAAGACCAGCATCGATACCCGCAGGACGAACAATTAAGGTGAAATAAGATAGAGCCCCGAGCATTTTCTTCAATGCATCAACTAACCATGTCAGACTATTTCCACTTGAAGACGTTTTAAAGCGGAGTTTGTTAATGCAAAAGAGCAAGAATAGACCAGCTATGCCAATCTCGTCTAAGACTGATCAAGGAGACACTTCGCATTGCAGTGTAGTTAACGCGACTCTAAAGATCAACCAGCAAATCAAAGTACCGTAGCCGACATAAGCGTCAATAAAGATCATTTTGAAGTTCAAACGCGCAACACAATTTTAAGGAAAAAAAAAAAAAAAAAAAAAAAAAAAAAAGAAGAGGTGGACAGAAGTGGCCGTCCTCCCACAGCACACCCCAAACCCTTAAATCCCTCTAAACCCAGAGCATAACTGACTGAGGCCAGGATCACCACGCTGTGGATACACGAGCCCGGACTCTCACACTCCTTGCATTTGATACTGCCAAAGCTTCCCATCAACGTCCGTTCTCCCATAACTGAAATACCCCCTCAGCAGCAGATGTTTAAGTTTTAAGGTTTACAATGGAAAAGTCATCATCAGAGAGCCGCTAGCAGTATAAAATCCAGTCAACTGCGGAACACACACTGGTGCAAACTTAGGTTTCGGAGAGATTCAATTAATGCCCTTGTCTTATGCAGCCATGGGAGTTACAAACCCCAGATACAGGTCACATCTTAAAGAAAATCCTACATGTTGAACTGACGACAGCACCCTACAGAAACACAAAACAACTTCAATGCTTACACGATTGCGAGCGATACACAATCTCTGGTTGGGAAGGTGGGAATTAGACTTTGCCTCATATGGACTTAGGAACGAAATTCAGCACAGAAAATGAATACACTCTCACAAGTTGAAATATGTCCAAGTTGAGGTGTTTCACAATAGTGGTAAGCAATGCTTGCCAGAACTAACCCCTCGATAATCAAATCTGGAAAACACAACTCTGAACCCACATACAAGAGGTTCCACAACATAAAAGAGAGAGTAAAGCATTTACATGAAAAGAAGCTCAAACACAGGAAGAAAAAAAGACAAAACAACAACAGATGATCATGGAATTTCCGCACACAATGTGCTCCTCTCATTACTAAGTGCTAAAATGAAAAAAAAATAAAAAAAAATAAAAAAAAGAAAAATAAAAGAAAAAACAACAACAACAACAAACAATTGGTGGATTTAAGTTGCTATCTGCCAGGATTGTTGGTCCAATAGACATTACTATTTGGACCTGGACCAATCATGCCCGGACGAATAGCTCCAGGCTGAAGATAAACAGGTTGTGCAGGGTTACTGTAGCAAGGGATTCCAGTGACTATACTAGGACCATTCACGGGCCATTGGCCAACAGGTCCCCTACCGTCAATAACTGGATGCACGGGGCCTTGCACTTGCCCTTGTCCTTGGGGCTGTTGCATTTGTCGTTGTCCTTGTGTTTGCTGCATTTGGTTACCTTGAGAATTTCTAGCATACTGTGCTGGCGGGATGAACACTCCAGTCCCAACAGGCTGAGGTGGAGGAACATACATACCCATGTGTTGAGGAAGAGGATAAGAACCTATGGGTACCAAATTAACCCTCCCTTGATACATTACATCTGTATTTTGGAAATCACCTGCATCAATTTCGAACGACTGATAGTAAGAAATACAACGGCCCCACTCCATGTCACAAACGAAATTGCCGCATCAATAATGAGTTATGTGACGAAAATGATGGCAGTAGGTACACAAATCATGTGAAATCCAAACGAAGAAGCAAGGGCGACTCTCTACCGAACAGTAAATGCACACCAGAATACAGACCTGTTACTTGATGAGGCCATCGCACATTGGAGCCTAGAAATGGAGCAGACTGAACTTGGTGAACTTGGGGAACCTCCCCGTGAAGGACACCACTCGATGGTCCCCAGTGTGGAGGACCACCAGATCTTTGAGGGGAAAGATGTGGAGGCTGCTGCTGGATAGGTCTCACACCAGAAACAAATTCGTGATGTGGAGACTGATAGAGAAGAGACTGGCGTTCATTGTAGTTAACCATCGGAGACCTTGGGTCAGGAACCTGGGAGTAATTCATGTCAGAACGAGGAGATCTATTCCACGAGTTCTGCCTATCAGGAGAAGGATGAAACTGCCCTCTATGATGTTCACCACTAGGTCCTTTATCTCTCAAAAAGTCTCGAGAAAACACAGGAGACCCAAGAGAGTTGCTCCTCTGATGCCCCCTTCCAGCTGCACGTGCCTTGGTTGCGTCATCAACTTCAAGCTGACAGTTAAATCCATAAAACCAGTTCAGATTCATCTTGAAAATACGGACAGCGAATCTCGTATTCTTCCGAACTACCTTCTCAAAGACAAACTATTTCTGGGGCAACAGAAGATTAAAACTCTGTTGGACATTCAAGCTCTGTTGAGAAATACTATTGGCGAGACCAATATTACCACTTCGACAGTTTGATTCCAAAAATAATACTCTAATTTTTTTTGTTGCGGTGGTAGAAATGCATGCTTACCATATTAGCGGAGTCACTTCTTGAAAATCTACCTCTTCCTGATCCTCTACCCCCCCTGCCATTCCGTCCACCTCCACCTTTGTGCCGGCCACCCCCACCTCGGCCCCCACCCCTTCCAGCATCGCCACCTACCCCGACTTGATGCCCCTGCTTAGCAGCTTGTTTCCTCAACCTTTTCGCTTCCTCCTCTTTCTCATCATCAGAAAATTCCTCTTCGTCTGATATTTCCTCGTCATGCTGCCCGGAAGCGTCGTACCCTTTCTTCCTCAACTCTGCGTCATCCTTCAGAACAAAACTCGCAAACTCTTGTACAAATCCTACAGTGGCGCCTTTTGAAGCTTTGTCTGGCACATCAGCTGCCTTGTTGTATCGGATGACGTAGTAGGGTTTCTTAACGGGTCCAAATACCTCATCCACTATTCCTAAGGGTTTCCGGTGTTCAGTTAGCCACAATATTGAGCCTTCGTTCAATACCATTTCGTGTTCAACAGCTTCCACAATGACTTGCTTGTCCATGATCTGTAATTATAAATGCAAAGCGTAAGAGGGTTTTTTTTCCAAAAAAGAAACACATGCGGAATCTGGGAAGACTAAGCCAACATAATTGGTTTCCCTATTCTAAACTCGACCATTTTCAACATACATCGGCGGCCACCACTTTTTCTAACCCTAGACTACTAAAACAACTACTAAAACATGTTTTGAGAATATATATATATATATATATATATATATATATATAGATAGGTGTGTGTGTGTGTGTGTGTGTTTGAACAGTACAACAATCGATCTCATTATATGCCCAAATATCAGCCATACAAGAAGCAGATTGCCATTTTCGATTGTTCGATCTTTAGTGCGAGTGTGAAACAAAAAAAAAGGGCTGATTAACTGAGGAGTTCAAGAATTAGAAGAAGTCGAAGGTCAATGCTTCTATCACGCTCGAGATCAAGCTCACAAACACACAGACGTTACTACCACCAGTTCTCTGATCTAGCCCTTACTCTCCTGCCCGGGGAACTTAACCTTACAACAACATCACGTTTCAACAGATGGGGCACACTGTTTCCGGGTGACTTACAGAGGAGATAACACCAACTTCACACGGAACTTGATTGGGCTCCAAGACAGCTTCAATTTCCGGCACAGGAGGCAAGTCCTGCATCTCAACCCCATTCATCACCAAGACCCTCGGTTCATGTCCCAGATCTCATGAATCCCGATCCAAAGCTTCTAAAAGACTAATGTAGATTACGCAAGAAAAGTCCGGGAACGGCGTATAAGCATTCCACAGAGCAGAAAACAGGTCAGGATCTCTTCAAGCCCAGACCATAAACAATAATTACTTAAGCTCAAAGTTACGAAGAACACCGTGACTTCATTCGCAGTGCGGGGAGGCTCAGTGGCAGCATCTTCCTCGTCGCTATCTACATCCTTTACTCGCTGAACCATCTTCTCCAACTCCTCAGCGCCCTCTATATGACTCTGCTGCAAATCGACGACATTTACGTCGTCGTCTTCGTCACTAGATGCGTCCGAAGACTCGTCACTCTCCACAAGCGGATCACTATCTTCTTCTACCATTCCCTCTGCATTCTCGTCGTCTTCCTCCTCGTCTTCACTCTCATTCTCATCTCCACCACATTCTTTCGCAACACCATTGCCATTTCCGTGAACGGGCAAGTTACTGAAGACCTCGGCAGCTTCAGCAGCAAGAAGCACATCCTGTGGTATACCACTCTCCCCAACCCTTGAAAGCCCGCCGTGCTGACTGATCTGCACATTGGGCCCTCCTCCCTCCCCTACCTTGCTGCACGCAGTGTCTTCCACCGCTTTCCTCCCATTGCTCCCCACATACCCTCCCGCCGATCCCGTCTCCGACATCCTTCCATCTCCGCTCAACCCCAGCATTTCCATATCACTCGTCTCCATTATTATCTCTCCTGCCTCCACCTCCATCTCCAATACCCCCGCCCCGTCCCTCGCCATATTTCCCGTCTCACCCCTGTTCTCTCACACCCCTTTCACACAATACCCCCTTTACCAACCTAAACGTCCACCACTCCCTCCGCACCTGCTCGTCCAAACCCGTCCATCTGCTCTCCCACCAACCTTCACAACCCTTGTCTTCCTACACTAACCCTGCTTGCTTCACCACCACCCTCTGGGGCACTTCCAACACCTCCCCTCCTCTCTTCAGGCGCTGATCATTCCCTTGCCGCGCTCTGCCAAACCACCTACACCTGCCCCCGCCCCCGCCACCCGAGCTGCGTGATGACTACTGCCCTGCACTTCCCCTCCTCCCCAACTCTTGTCACTTTCTCGTTACGGTCTTGTCTCTCCTGCTGTGGGTTTTCTTTCCTTTTTCGTTCCTGCGCAGTGACATCCGTCGCCCCTCCCAACTTTTCTTTAGCACACCCAGTTCCCCCTCTCAACCCTAACTTAATCATCCCCTCCCTTCGTCAACTCTGCCTTCGGTCTCCATTATCTAGGTCGCCTTCCCCTTCCGTGCGTGGGGCCACTCTTGCATGATCCCTCCATAATGAACCCAAACCCCCGTGATTGTTTTTTTTTCGCTCTGCTCCGATTGCCTCTCACGGCAAGTCCCCCATGTACCTAGGCTCAAATATCTATTCCCAGCATGTACAAAGTTTCCTCATTTTTCTTCACGGCCTTGGGACCAACTTGAATCGATGGGCTCCATATCCTGGAACCATCGTCGTGTTGTGGTTGTGGGCAAACACCACGAAAAGCATGCGCGTTGACTTTCATTGCGAGCGTTCTTTTCGGTCCATTTTCCGATCTTTCCGTTGTTATCCTTGATACCTCCATTTCGTTTCGGCGCCATTCACATATAAGCAGGCTCATGACATGTCATACACTCAATGCAGACAATCGCAAATTAGCTCTTGGGTTACTCGATGTTTCCAATCCGAAGTTGGAATCCCGCGCTTGAATGCATGATCGGCAGCTGGCCGAGGGATCTATGTCGTCCAGTCACGCCTCCATGTTGCATATTGTAAAGATTCGGGAGCTAGCATCTCCACATTGCGCTGCTGAGTTTGCAAATCGTAACTTCCAAGTCTGGGAGATAGCTTCCGCAACGAATCGGTTTATCCATAGATAAGCAATATCCAGTCACAATAATGAGAATGTTCTGGGATGAGTTTGCAATCAATTTTATGATTGACAGGTCAATAATAGAACCTCTCCACGATACCGATTTTGGGATGCTGTCGAACTAAATTTGCTCGCTAATTTCGAGTTTATTCCCCAACACATGAGGCACCGGAGCGGGCCCTTTTGCGTCTGAACAAGTTTAGGCATAAGTTGGCGATTGTTGTAGCCTAGTGCTTGTTCTCTGAAGGGCTGATTTGAAGCACCTCTACTGCCACATTTGTCAAACACTTGGGCGCTTCCACAGCCTGGTATACAAATTTTACCCGCATAGGATCATCAAGCTTACTTCTGAGCGCGGTCGTTTTGTCTTCACCATTGGACGATACACAGACTGTAGGAATTGAGAAGACTCGGTGAAGCAGAATTGTGAGGTGCCTTACAACGATCGATTAGTTCATAGAGACTTGCTAATCATGAGGCGGGAATTTAGGGTTTCCAACTGATTTTTTCTTTCGCGTACTGACAACGGTCCACATATCTCAGTACCCTTTATTCAGCACATCCCACCTTGTGTAGGAAATAGGCAGGCACTTGTCTATCAAATGGCGGAGGGTGTTGCCATACAGAAGCTGTCGACGTCGCTATGAGCTACGTGCGTCTGGCAGCTACTTCATGGAATTTGTTGCGTGGATGTGAGATTATCTGACATAGACCGGGTACAAAGTACTCGAATAGGGTTGTCATTGCTGAAGTCGTGAACTTGCTGATTGGTGGGTTTAGATACAACGCATCCCACATTGCATAGTCAGACATCTCTGAAGGTGGTACAAGTAACAGCTTTTGTTGGCTCTGTGTCTAAATACTTATCGTTTATTTCATTACTCAATTTCCAGCTGGATAACAGTGCCAACATGGCATCCCCTTTCGTGCACTAGTGAAGGACTGTGTAAACATGTACCGAGTTTGAAGTGCACCAAGCTGGACCCTGAGAGAGCCCAGATTCTACGAAACCATGTGATGAGCGGCTAAGACTGGTACAGTCTATACCAGCGTCCTTTGTAACATGAGATAGCACTCCAATCTCGGAAATTAGATAGGTTCACAGCACTGGCAACACTCAAGATACCACAGAATAACAACCACAGCACCAGTAGCTCGTATATAAGGACAAAAGCTTCTTCAGAAGAGGTTTTTATAAACAGGTTTAGCCCTCCCACTAGCCCTGCCCAGTCTACTGCAAGGGGTTGCAGGGTTGAAGCGGCCTAGCAAAAGTGGAACCCAAACGAAACCTAAGGTGTGTTCAAATAAACGCTGAGGACAACCAACTAACCACACAGAGTCCACCCAGACAATCGCTATCTTAAGCTACTCTTGGCTATGACCCTGAGGAATCACACACTCCGCAAACAAACGATGCTGCAAATCTTGCTTGAGGTGCACTACTCGCTCTCCAGATTCTCTACACTCATTTAGATTTTAAGATATACAGAATTGAACTAATGCCTCGACATCCTGACAGTTTTAACCTAAGATGACCCTGCAGGTTACCTACGGAAGTCCGTGAACTGTCAACCCTCATCGCTAAGCTTCAATTTATAAGCTTCAATTACAATTGCAAACTGCACGCGAAAGGTCTGTTGCTGCATTTAGCGTCCAATTTAAGAGGAATTTTTTTTAAAAAAAAATAAGGGAAGTTTACCGGCACTCTTTCAATAAATACATGGATGGACTGAATTGCTCACAGCCACCACCTCCTAACATGTGGGTATCCTCCCCTCCCGCATTTAAACCAAGTGTAGATGCGCCACGTACAGGGGTTCCAGTAATCCCATGTTCTGGTGAGGGCTGTACCACGCAGTAGTTGTCAGTCCAAACAAGCTCATCCCAGACATGGGTACTACCAGGAGAAATCACAATCTTTTAAGTGAGCTATCGAGGTGAAGATATACTTACCAAGAGCCAATTGACGAAGGTTGATCCATGTCCATCGTTCTCAACCAAGCCCCTCCTATTCTCTTTCATATCATGCACTTTGCGACTTGAACTGGTCCGCAAGCAATATCCAGAGAAGGGAGAAGGTACGTGTTGGACTGAAGGCTGTTTAGCCAGCACTTCTTCCGCTTCACTGTAGGCGGGGGTGTTGTGTTCATTATTTTGCCGCATTAAACCTAACGCATCATCCAACCCATCTTCCAGAGGAACTTCCAAGCCCTGCTCGAGAAAATTCGTCCAGCAATCAACATGCTGTGAAGTGTGGGTGAAAACCTCAAGAAATCTAAAAACCTTCAAATCTCAACAGGCACTTGAACTCAATGGGAAAAGATGCTAGCTCTGTTGAATGAACTCTCGACATAAAACAGAAAGTACTTATGGTAGCGAAAGAACACAGATTGTGGGATACGAGTGGCTTACATCCATGAAGGACAAGGCTCCCTCCTTCTGAGCGGAAGGAAACGGGTCTAATTTCCATGGCGACCTCCATATTGGAGATGCAAATCTAGGTGATGGAAACCTAGGAGAGGCAAATCTGGTATCACAGATAGTTACACTGACTGAGAATGGCAACATCATCACGGGCATGGCAACCTGCTAATATCATTCATGAAACCCTGCATTGAGTTCTACAAAGCACATCAAAAATCAAAATCACTTCATGAATACAACAATGTCAATTGCGCAACGTGTCCAAAGATGGTGAACCACTCCAAACAGGTGAGGGAAGCTCACATGTTCGCGGTATCTAAATCTTGCAGCCAATCTTTTCCGGGCGTGTGCTGGAAAATTGTGACACCCGGGCTGAAGCAGGCCGCCATTGCACAAGTCACAGATCCCCATGAGCTGAGAGTGGCTGCATTACCAGGAGACGAGAACTCTCTTTTTTCCGAAACTTTACCAGAAATGGAACCTCCGATAGTGTCTCCTGACCCGACAGCGGTGGTATCGCATGAAGGTCTTGGTTCCTCATGCCCATTTTGTCCGTTCTGTTGCTGCTCCGTCAGCACAGAACCTTCCTGCTAAATTCAAGACACTCTCAATAATGCTTTCACGACTTCACACAGCAAAGCAGTACTATGCTTCACACGGTGAGTAATCCAAACATCCCCTCTTCACCAAAATGTGGCTCACAATGGACAGCTGTTTAAGCTGAGTCATCGGTGATGCACAATTCCAAGACACAGACTGACAATAAGATTGAACCATCTTGACACATGGCATGGTTCCTTACCTTACAAACTTGTGTCCCATTCTGCCGTTCAGAACTTACACCACGGTAAAGATTTGAACCAAGAGACCTCCCTCTCTTATTGATTTTCACACCAATATTATCACGTGATACATTGCCACATGCAGATCCCTGCCTCCCATCTCGAATAGGGAGTGAAGCGCCACCGGCCCCACCTCCACCATTACTGTCCGTGGTGCACTCCTGAGACTGATTGTCGGTTTTCCTGGAAACTTCGTTATCAACCCTGTTTGAAGGTTTACTTGCTGGAGATACAAAGAGTGCAGTCCTCGCTAGACAAGCTTGTTGCGAACCAGCTGCTTTGGAAGGTTTGTTAGCCAAACTCGACTGAGAAGCTCCTGCAGGTGTTTTAAGGGAATTACCACCTGCAGTAGCACCGGAGGCATCCCCCTTACCTAAGCTGGTATGGGCTTCACTGAACTTAGTATCTAGCTTGTCCCCAGTAGTTCCTGTTCTTGAGGGTACTAAAATCTGGCGTGGCCTTTTCCGTAAGATGGAGGGTGACCCGCTGAAGCTCTTAGCAGCACTGCGAAGTTTGGACTGAGGACTCTTCCCTTGGAAAGGTGACTGGAGGTAGTTGGGAGGAGTTATACAGTTGCCAGCAGGCATTATCATCTGGCGAACACCCAGAGGGCTGTAAGCGTTGAGCGAACTCACCAAGTCGTAATTCATGAATGGAGGGTCGACGATTCGCGGAGGCTCATAGAACAAGCCATCACGATCCTGAACTCTGCTACTGTCGCCTTTATCTTCCAGATCTTCCTCCGTAAGCATCGGAGATTGTGACTGGTACTCATTGACTGCCTCACTAGAATCCCGGAGGAGATTATCGGATGGAAACTCGGACACATCCTGGTCCATGGCCTTGTCCATAGGTTCTGCCATCTGGGAGTCACACCGGACAGAAGCTCCGGAGTCTTCAAAGGCAGCATCACCCTCAGAGGGTTGACTAGGGGGAAGGTTGCATCTCCTCAAAGGCTCATAGTTCTGCTTTGACCCCATCATGGCCAAAGTCTCTTCACCAGGTGGTACCCCTGTGCCGTTAAAAGAAGACAATGGTTGAGTGTCATTGTGCGCCGCCATGGGCATGTGACTAGAAGCGAAGAGAGAACCCAAATCCGGTAGCGGGACGGACATTGACGAGCTTCGATAAGCTTGGGAGCTGGACTCTGGAGCAGGGATCCGAGGAAACGAATTCGAGAAAGAAGCAATCCGAGTGAGCTCAATGTTCGACATAGCTCGTTTATGTTGCACTGACGGTACTAACTGTTCGGTAACTGAATTAGATAGCGACGATGTACCTAAAGATACTCCCGAGAACCCACCAGAATACACTGGTAATTGGCCGGAAGACCAGCCAGAGAATCCTAGTGACTGCCCAATTAGGTCATGATCAGACTCTTCTTTCTTCGGTTGAAGGTGACTTGCATTCCTCTGCTGATCCTTCCCACGATTGGGATAAATATCTGGGTAAGGTGGAGGGGGTGCTGATCCAGTAGACTTCGTGTCCTGCTCTACATAATGGGATGTGCGGCCTAAACCACGAGTGTTCGAGTTGTGCCTGCTTGGATCGGAAGATGTGGTTGTCTCACTCATAGGTGGACCAGTTCTACCTCCGATGCTTCCAGAGTCAACTTGTCCAGCCCCAGAACCTGAATTCATCGACTGCTCCTGCTGGGCTTGATAAGCAGCGAGCGCCCTTGAGATTGGATCATTTGCGGTCAACGGATCCACTTTCTTCTTCATAGTGCTGTTCCAGTGATTTTTGATCGAGTTGTCCGTACTGCATAATTCCAGATGAACACACAGGGGTTTTAATAAAAATCATGATGAACCGTAGTCGCCAATGACTATGCATCAAAACAAGATAAATAGGATATTGGGACTGCTTCCGACGCTGGAAAAATTAATTTAGTTACCGCCCAGGCAAGAACTTGGCTATCTCGGCCCATTTGTTTCCATATAATTGATGGGCGCGGATCAGCGCTAAATCTTCTTGTTGAGTCCAAGCCTCACGCTTTATGCTGGGGTTAAGATGGTTATGCCACCTGATTCAAACAACAAAATGCGAGTGAGACAAACACTACAATGTCAGTCGTATTACAACACAGGGGAACCCTGAGAACCAGGTGGAGGCAAGTCTAAAACTTGGGTGCTCCCGTGCTCACCTTTCGCGACACTGCTTTCCAATTCGACCCGGTAAGTTTTGAGCTATAACAGACCATTTTTTGGCTCCATACTTGTTCACAAGTTCCATAATACGATCATCTTCCTCTTTGGTCCATGCACCCTTGACCAGATCTGGGTTGAGAACCTTTTGCCATCTGTGCAAGCATTGCACATCTGTTCGATCCGTGAAGAACTCCGCTGCAAAATTGTAAAAAATCCAGATATGTGATCTGTGACACGAGTAGAGAATTAACTTGGACTCGCAATTTCTCAAAAGAGTAGATTCAAAGTACTGGAATTTGCTTGAATTCACTCACCAATTTTCTTCCAGTTCTTTCCGTTGAAGCATTGCACAGCTCGTCTCAGAGTCTCATCCTGCAAAATCACACATTACAACTTCAGAGAAAGTCCATTGCAACAACTGATACAAAGTTCTCACTTTTGAAGGTCTACAAGTATGGTTACATCGCCACTATTCACACTGCACGAGCTCACAAGTTTGTGCGCATAGATCTGAGTTGCATCTGTATTCACATATTAAAAAAATGAAATAGTAGAGCAAGTGAAAAAGAGATGAAGACCATATCATAATTCTTGGATGAAGAGTTCACGATGTATTCTAAGAATTTTTTAGAGGAGGAATGGCTACGACCGGTCCCGACAGAAGCATACCTCTTCTGGTGTCCATCCTCCCTTTGAAGATCGTCGAGTTGGGCCTCCTGTTCGTCTGTCATGTAAAGAAACCACGTCCGAGTCAGAGGTTAAGGTCACGTCTAAATTCACCTGAACAATAGGTCACACGACACTCATGATGACCTCCGGAGCACAGCCCTTCTCTTACCTGAAATTTTTGACTTTAATAATGCTTCGAGTAATAAGATAAAACTCGACTGTGTCAGACATCAGTCCAGAAATTTTTAAAAATTAATAAAATAAAATAAAATAAAAAACGAAGCCGGGCGACGATAGATACGGAGATTTTCCGGATCATTGTGCGGAACTTCAAACACAGAACGTTGGGTCCCAGCCAATGAGGACATCTATGATGCTGCTCAGCTAATCTAGGCGCTAAAATCCGTTAACTCTTTGAATGTTGCACATATCTCGAACACCTCCCTGAACGCAAGGCGGGCAATACTGCTCCATCTGATTGGATTCCAGGGGAACCAGCAACCTTCCCAGTTTGACTCATCGAGCACTTTCAGTCGTGCTTTAGTCACTGTAATGGTGAAGATTCCTGCTCGAGAAGCAGGTATCGCAAGCGTCCCAAGAGCAGACCTGTGTATCAGTACAGGCCAGTAACTGGCACAAAGATACAGCCCTTAAGTGCGCCCCTCGTGATACCCGTCCTAAACTCTACAGATTTTCTCGCGAAATTTCTACAGAGACGAAAAAAATGCATCACAAATGAAAGAAATGAACAGGTAGAAGAGCGAAGGAAGAGGGCAAGTAGAGCAGAGTACAACTGAAGAAGAGTGCGCGTTAGTACCCGTGAACAGGAGGTAGATGGTGCGAGGTATCCTCGTCCGACTCCGGGGCGGATGAGCAGGCAGACGACCTCTGTTGCACATTGTCATTGCTATTACAGCTCTTTCCCTTCGCAATCAAGCTTGCCATCCTCCCAGCGCTACCCTAATCCTCCGCGTGCTCTGTCCTAAACTCCGTCTCCCTGTAGCGTCACTACAACGCAGTGCCTGTCTTCTCGCTCACGCCCCACGAACCTATCAACCCTCCCAATCTTTCTCTCCGCTCCTGTACTCCATTCTTCAGCAAATCCGTTCAAAAACACGCACCGAAAAAACGAGCACGAGCCCAAACACCTGCGCCTTCTTCACTTCATCAACCTCTCATCACAGACAACACTTCCGCTACGACCCTCCCCCCTCCCCAATGCTGAGCCATCCCATTATTGCAACTACATCAAAGCTCACGAGTTCGTCGCCCCGCAACAATCAAAAAACCAAAAACCCACAAATGAGCTCGGTAAGGCCACACCCCAGGGGCATTCGGAACCTGGCCCCCCCTTTCTACCACTCCACCTGCTTTTCGAAAAAGTTCAACCCCAGCGACCGGTCGCCCACCCCCTTCCAGACAGTCTACGCCACTGACCGCCGGATGCCCGACCCCGAACTGGTACAGCCAGTGCACTTTCCAAACGGTCGAATGGTGGAAATGACCTAACTGCGCGTGTAACCGCGATTGGACACCTAGTCACCGTGACTCCTCCTCCTCACCCCTTCACTCACGTTAACCTCCTGTTTTACCTCAATTCCAGCCCACCTTGTTTGGTTCCCATGAATCAATCCCCATTGGCTATGGAGGCCGGCCATCCACAAATCTGTTACAAACGAGGAGAAGAACCGTTTCAGAAACCCCCCCCCCCCAGTTTGAAATTTCACTGTGTCAGACCCGCCTCAACCGACTTCGTCAGCAGCTCCCGGGAGGGAAAAGGAGGCGGGCCCCAGCCTTGCCTGCTTTGCTCTGCCTTGCTTTGCAATGGCCTGTTTGCATGCGTCCCTGCTGCATGCTGAGCCAGCAGTCTTCTCTCTCGCTCTTCCTTCACTTTGTGCCGCCCGCTCTCCAACGAGAAAGACTCCATTTTGGATCCCTGCTCCTCTGCCGCAATCTTATTTTGTCGTATCTATGCCATGTTCCCCCCTTGCTTTCTGACTTGGTGGCCTGGCGTTTTTATTTTTGTGCTCTGAAACTTAGGTCATTGGCTGCAATTCAAAGGCCCCGATGACACACACCCGGCAGCACCCACAGCCTCGTCCTCCTCCGTCCAATGTTTTCGCCTCGAAAGTGAACGAAATCCTCACATTCGTCGCAAGGTGATTTTACAGTGATGTTCTCTGACCCCCCTGTTCGAGTTCAATTTTTGGTGGATTACAATTTCTGTGGGTTTTTTCTGTTGTTCCTTTGTGAAGTATTAGAATAGCCGTTTAAACAGAGTAAAATATAAGCGAGGAATTTGAAAGTTTCAAATAATACATTGTTTATTGTACCTCCAGGAAGTCACTGTCGTGTGAATTAAAGAGGCTTGGCCTAGAAAGTAATTTGCATGTTTCGGCCAGATACTCTGATGAAATGTTTGCATTGTTTGATTAGAACAAGTTCCAAAAAATCCCACTCGGCAAGTTTGAAAACTAAGAACATTCGTGGAGGATAAACACATATATTTTTCACAGTAGTGAAGGCATATCAAGTTGAGTGAAACTAATGCAATCCATGTCAACGTCAGTAAGGCTCTCCTCACACAACTATATTGTTACAAGGAACGTATTAGATACACTTATCACAAGTTGTTCATAGAAATGAAAAGTGCATAACCTGATATTTTATTCAACAAATGCGCTTGTTTTGAGACTTAACACTGCAATGCAATAATTTGAACAACAAGATAATAATAGTGATAAGAATAAAAAGGGAACTGTGAATCTATGAATCATTTACGTACTGTGGTACTCAGGTAAACGTAAGCTTATCGTTATCCCACTAATTGAGATCTTTTTTTTATGATAAAGAAGTAAAAAGCATAAGACTGTTTGTCAAGGAAGGCAGAGTTGAAATTTCCGTTCCTTTACTTAAATGCATGGATGTTTTTGAATACTTCTTTTGCCCTTTTCCCATGCCACGGCCCTTTTTACAAGGTGCCTATTTATGGTCTCAATTGGCCCAGGGTTCTTTTCAAATTGTGCGTAATTCAAAGTTTTTAAAAGTGATAACAGCAGGTAGAATCCATGAATTTGAACAGAGTTTGGAATGTGGAACAACTCACTAGACTTTCATGATTTAGATGAAGACTTCCTTCAAAGAGAATGCACTAAGAATGGAACGTGAAAATTACCCACGTGGTCAAACATGAAACAATTAATTTTAAATCATTGTCTAAGTATTAGACATGGTGATTCGTGTGAACGCCTTCCATTACATTTACAAACAACATGATTTTCTTTAAGATTGAGCTGTATTCTTCATTTTAATAAAATAATTGATATAATCGTAATAGGAATAACAACATAACCAATCAATAATTTGAACATAATTGCATCTCTGGCACGGTTTCGTATGCTTTTGCAAATGGTACAATTTTGCCCCAAAATGATACATCGAAAAAATTTGTTTCCTTACAACCCATCTATTCATTCAAAATCATGAAAAACAAATATGTATATATATATATATATATATATATATATACATATGTATATAACATTCACCCAAAATGGATTCGCTCAAATACACAAGTACATTACACAGTGGCAAAATAAATTTAAATTGCTTTTAAAACAGACGAAACAACACACGCACCTAAAAAGGGGGGGAAAATAGCATTTTGATTGATTTAGTTTTTCCAGCGCTTGGACCATTTGCCATATTTGCCGTTTAGTTTCCTTTTCCTTCCCAGTGCACAAATGAAGCCAATTTGCAGGGCTCATGTCAAAAGAATCTCCGCATATTTTGAAAGAATATGCTTATGTCCCCCCCCCCCAAGATTGGGCATTTTGGAATGAAAGCGATTAGTTCCGAACCCAGACCAATTTCTGGTATTACTATTTGTTATCCAATTCATGTGGATCTGGATTAAAGCTCATTAGTGTGATCTGGGCTGTGTAGCTGAGCTGGACATTGAAGCTTAGCAAGCTCCAAAAAAAAAAAAACAAAAAAGTGTTAAATCATTTGTTGATGAGAACAAATCATTTTTACTATCAGAATATTCATTGATACTGTAGCTTCTACCAACAACATGGCGAATTTAAACAAATGGAATGGGTATACTCTAATACATTGTAAAAAACGTATGATTAGTTTTATAGAAGCAGTACACATCTGTCAATCTTCACAACATGGTCACTTGAAAAGGGTCTCATACTCAGTGAATTATCAAACTATAGTTGGTGTGTGGTTTCCACATAAAAATCATCTTGTGCCAAAATCTTATTGTCATAATATCCTATTGGTTTTTAGTGGTATGGTAATGATATGCCAACAGATTGTTCTAAGAATTAATTGTATTTTATTTTAGATTTTTTTTCACATGTATAGTTAGTTTAACTGTAAATCATTATGTTGAGACATGGGCTTGAAAGACAATAATTGAACTTGAACTATCATAATTGGTACATGAATGCTCCATCAGTCTCTCTTTTCTCTTTTTTCTAGTTTATACTTAGATTTTTTTTTTTATTTTTAATTTTTTTAAATTTTTTCTTCCTGTAATCTTTATTTTACCAATATCTTTTAAAAATAATAACAAACTATCACATCTTAAATTGGTCTTATGAGAACCATGATAAGTGAATCACATGCTGAATGTAAAAACAGTGCAAATAAATTTAATAGAGTGATTCAAATCAAAGCTGTTTTTTTTTTTTTTTAATTATTCAAATGATGTACTCTTAATCTATCCTTTATTTCATCATTTAAAAATACTATTTAGCAGTGAATGGAAATCAATGCAATTGATTGTACGATTGCTTTCCATGGAAAAAGAAAATGATGTTTTCAAAGACAATTTGGACTAAAAAACAAACTGTGTAGTAATATCATGAACTACAATGAATTATGGTAAATTGGCTTGTGCAGTCATATTGAACAAACACATACACACATGCACTCAAGTATAGTATACATTTCAAAAATTCCATGCACAAAACAACATGTTCAGAAATTGGTGCAGCAATGTTGTATTTGCAAAAAAAATTAAATTTTTTCACCACAGCAGACAGAAAGGGACATTCAATTCTAGACATATGTGCAAACAGTACAGACATTACTTTCATGTTTGAGTTTTGTGTACATCACAACAGCACTCCTGGTTGGACTTGGCCCCTGACTCCATGGATTCCATTTTTACACCTCAAACCAAGTTCCAAGTATTTCTATATTCACACACATGCATTGTTCTGCCACCTCATGTGAAGTCTAAGGATTATTTTTTGACATACAAGAATGTAACATAAAGCATATTAAAAATACAACCTGTGCTATTTTCTGATAAGTTTGTGGATTCTAACTCTGTCATTGCTGTTGACTTTATTGATGAAATACTGCAAAATCAACTACACAATTAGAAAATGAAACACACCCAGTAAATGTTTGATTGTAAAGGAAGAAATGGGTTTATTCAATCTATGTGCTTCATTCCTTTTTTTACAGTTTTCTGAATCCAAGTGTGGGCCTTGCAGCATATTTGACTTTCACCTTCATTTGAATTTCTCCACCACAAGTGCAGCCTTGCTAGCTCAAGTCCATTTCTACCATTAACCTCAACTGAATTGAACAATAAACAAGTGACTTTATTTATTTATATTATAGTTATTACATACTGAAGTATCAAGTAGAGGTGGATTATATTGTAAAACATAAATTATACAGAAATTCAAGTTTCGAAATAATGTTACCCTTCCAACTATAAAGGATGCATATTCAATTCCAACATTTTGTGTCATTCGTATGAAATGAAAACTTAGACACAAAGGTCAAAGGAGAAACACAAGACGAAGGAAGATGAATGAAACAGTGAGGGAATATTGTCCACAGCATTCAAAAATAGAATGAGGGAGAAAAAGCAAAGGCAACCAGAGCAACAACAAAACCGACGACAAAAACAACAACGCTCAACAACAACAACATCAACAACATCAACAACAACAACAACGCTCAACAACGCTGCACTTGACAGTGGGACAAAAACACGATTGGGGCCCGTTAGAAACAGAAGGCAGGAGGGATATTGGGAATAAGCCCGATTAAGTCAATTAGGTCGTAATAGACGGAATAAAGTGTAAACTTCCAGCCAAAACTCTCCGCACGCAGCCAACGCGAGGCAGCATTCAGCATCGAGCCCCTTCCCATTACGACGCTTTGATTTTCCCACTTGTATTTATAATTCTGGTTTCGTATGACCGCGCGGTTGCGCACGCGGTTGAGATTGCCGGGGGGGGGGGTTGCATTGCATTCAAGTCCAGCCACTGTAGCACATACAGTGCAATAAAACGGTCATCTGAAGCGGCATGCCCGGTCGGATGCCCCACTCGGAGCTTTGAATCAGTTGACTGATTCTGCTGTCGTGAGCTGGCCCCTGGCATCGTTGGAACTATGACAAATAAAAAAAGTCCCTTCTTTGGAGGTGGGTGTCTTGTTTTGGGTCTCGTTCGTTGACACTTGTTTTCAAGCTATTGCGTTTGCTTTTTTTAACGGGTGGAAATCAGTGGTGTTTGTGGCTGGTGTGAGTGTTCGTTGTTTTGTGGTGAACTGGATCAGGTTCTCCACAAACTGGAGATCTCGGAATTGGAGGGTGGAGATGTGGAAACTGTTTGGATGGGGAACTGTGAGAGAGCAGGTCACGGTGCTGAGCGCTGGTTCAGTTGGTCACGTTCCATGTTGTGGGTGAAAAAGGGATTTTCTGCCACAGTTGGGGCGTCAGGACGTGGCTGGACAGAGAGTATGAATACCATCTGTCAGGTCGGTGGACTTAACAGAACTTTTGAGTGTGAGATGGGGAAAAAAAATAAAAAATAAAAATAAAAATAAATTATGAACTTTCAATCGTACTCATGTATTTGGTAGACACGTAGAATACATACACACACACACATATATATAAATATATATATATATATATATATATATATATATTTGGATTTTTAAATAATTTTTATATCAATTTGGTTTATGGAATTTGCAGAGTGGTTAGAATCTGATTGTCGCATGAATGCTGGACATGGCATCGCCGCTGCGAGGCTTTGGAAGAAGCTCGCTGTGTGTATTCGGTCTATTGAAGAGGTCGTTATGTAACGAGGTGGTTTGACGTGTCGCATTGTGGGCTATGTTCTGCGGATTCGTTCACAGTTGATTTTTTGTAGTAGGTAATTGTAGTTGAGTAAAGCTCATGGAGCAGATCTGATTCAATTGTGTCTCAATGTTGTGAATGAATGCGCTGAACTGTCGTAGTAGATGGAGTGATGTCACGGTTTTCGGATTGGCCAGTTATGTTGCTATCGGTACACATCGCGTTAGTATGCGGCATCGAGAGATGTGTATGGAATGATAACATGCTTGAATCAGCCTTCCTTCCTCTGATTTGAGAGCTGGGTCGTGTTAATTGTATATCATGACGCTAGATGTGTTCGTCGCTCTCAATCCTTGGACACTGACGATCGTTATGCCTCCAGTCAAGGTTTTTCTTTATGTCGTACGTTGGCGGATATCGCTCAAGAGCGCTTGCGTGCTGTGGACATTGGGTACATTTCCATTCCACCTCCTAGTCATTTTCAATTCCAGTCGCTCAAGGCGAAGCTCATTGATTTTGGCTATGAAGTAGTGAAGTTTGAGTTCACTCGCTTTGCATTCAGGAATTGCCCAAGAATTATAACTGACCATGGAGTGGGGATAGTCTTCCCGGGTACATGCAACGGCATCTGCTGCAACCAAGAATTTGATGGTCACCTCAGTTATCGACGAGATTATTAAAGATGAATCATCTAGGTACATTTGTTTTGTATTGGAGATGTTTGATTTCTCAAACCAACCAAGGGCGCTAAGTAGCTCAGTATTCCGGATTACGTAAGGTGCGCGCATGAATAAGTTTCATGCATGCACTGCTGCTCATTTTAAGGATTACTTGTGGACCGAATCTTCTGAGCCGAAGAATCCAGATGCTTTTCAAAATGTATACCGACCACTTCCCTTGTTTTATTCCATGCGCACACTGAAAACCAATCAACCATCGCTCTTAGCCACCAACTCAACTCAGACCAGGGTAGCATTTAAACATCATTAGTTGTTCTGTTCGTCAACAAAAGAAGTGTCTCCTGGCAACTGAGGCAAACGAGCTTCCTCTCCATTCTATGATTACGAGCATCAAAGTTGAGAAAACAGGAAATTAGAATTCCAATTCACATGCTTATGAAAAGGTTCTAATCCAACTATCACCTAAACAAGAAATGAATATTGACATGTAGAAGTTATCTGAAAAGTTTTGAAATGACGAATTTGCTTCTACTGATGCTTTCAGAATATACGCTGAGGAGTGATTAGAAAGATGCTGACTTCCAATCTGCTAATGTTTTCAGAAGTGCTTAGATTTCGCCACTAGTTATGCCGAGTCTAAGGTCTCTGGTGGCTGCAACACAAGCTGCTCAGAGACTAAGCACATTTAGGGTTTGTTACGACCAATCGAAGTTCAAAAGAATGGTAAGATTTGCGGGCGAAGACAAGTTAATTCTTCTGTTGCAGGACGGAAGACTTCCAGAAGGCCAGATGGAAAGTTTGGAGGGTACCACGGACATTGAAATCCGACATCTCTACACTCTTTCAAAATTTTTCAGCCTTATGAAGAGGTGAGTTCAAATACAGTACCGGATGGTTCTTGTGGCGTTAACTCATGATTTGTTGAACTTCAATATCAAAGAGAGCTTTAAAGCAGTACTAAGATCTACGACTCATTAGGTTAACTGGATTGGATCTACCTTGTATTCTGTCGTCATCATGAGCATGGACTGGATGTTCCCTTTTATCTCATGCTGCTGTGGTGTTGTCTGCAATGTAGGTTATTGCGCATCTCAGTTCTTCAATGTGATATTTCACTCGTCAATGTCGCTGTACCGTAGTTGATAGCTGGAAATGGTTCTTCTTTACCGCCCCATTTTTGTCACACATGCTTCAGTGAGTTACTTCACTAATGAAAATTCTGTCACAATTTTTTTTGCCGAATTCGAACAGAGTAGTGATGTGCATGCACACCAATGTCCAATGCTGATCTAAGGGGAGCAATGATTGATCTTCGGTTCAGAGTGCAGAAGAGAAGAACATCAGCGAAGTTGTACCACCCATTTCCCGTTTCTGCAGCAGTAAGTTCTCATTCCAAAACTTGCTGGCAACCAGGAAGAGCATTCACACGCAAAACGTGAGACTTATTGCGAGATGTAACCACTCCGAAATAGCTGCATGCTTTTGTTTGGAATAACCACTAGTAGATACAATTGTTGTGCAGCAATTTGAGACCACGAGACAATCGAATCTGTAGGAATACCAGACAAGATCATGAGCACTCTTGGTTCATTCACAACTATGGACGCCAAGTTCTGTGATGACCCAATATGTTATCAATTAGAGCTAGAGTTTCACGAACCTTTTGTGCCGATCGATGCTACGGCTGAAGGAAACCGACTGTGCTAGACGAGCGTAACAGCTTAGGGTAAGCGTAGAAGGGAAGTCCTATTTCATGAAAAAGGTTACTCATCTTTCAGCTCAAATTGACGGTGTTTTAACCGACATCTTTCATGTACTTCAAAATTTAAGTTGTCGATTTCAGTCTCATGCAATTTCTGCCTCATTGATTGTTAGAGGACATATCTACTGGTGTCGCCTACGAGTTACTAGCACAAATCCGAAAGCTGGGTTGTGGAATCCCCAGAATAAAATGAAAGTCGGGTTTGATTGCAGGTGAAGACACACATACACCACTCTTGCATCAGATCGTGCAAATTTTGAAGACTTGCTTAAAAGTGAGGTGGGTCACTCATTTATTGGCATTTCTGTTTGCATGTTCCTGAAAGGCTAAATCAATAATCCCGTATGCTGTCTCTTGGATATGGTGCAGGTGAGATTATTGGAATTGTTTTCTTCTAATATGAAGGGAAACGTAACTGTGGTAAAATAACAGTGCAAAGCAATCCCACCAGAGGTATCTCTTTGGGATACAACAAATTCATTGTACTCAAAAAACAATCCGATCCTGACAACGTATGCCATCGGTAATAGACGCCCGTCTTAAATTTCTGTGTTGTGTGGCCAGTCATGAGGAAATAACATATTTTTTTTAAAAAACTGTGCCTATTTTTTAAGTACAACCCTAAATGTTGCAATCAACCTGAAAACTCCCAAATACTCTTTAACACGAGATTACGCCAAAAGAGTATAATCCATACAGTGAACTTCGCAAAAAAATAAGATTCCAATTTCATAAGAACAGGAAATGGGTCCACACTAAATTGTAAGCGAAGAAACCAAGCTGTAAAACAGCACACCCACCGGAGATACTTCGTTCATCTTGCAAAGGACAATGATCCGCGTGATAAGCTTCACAATTGAACAATTCTAGAAAGCTTCTTTAAAGAAAATACACTGGCATCTTCATACCTAGTTAATGATGTGAACCTCCCCAAAAGTCTCGGGCTAAATCGTTCCTAACGTCAGCATCCTTTCAGGAACCAAACACAAAATCTCAAAGAGAAATGCAAACTAATTGTACTAGTCGTACCTGGATTTAAAAAGCATAACAACCTGATTCATAAGATCCATGGCAACTGAACCACCAACTAAAAGCAGCAGATCAAAATTCGACAACTCGTCAAAGACCAAAGTTGTCAACTTCATCTTTTCGGAACAAACCAGGAAAGTTGCAAGGGCCGCTTAACTCAACGCACAGCGGAGTTGGTCTAGATTCGCACTCGCGCATTGACGCGAAATATACTGTACAAACCTAAAACTTAACAAATATGGCTTTGCCGACTGTTGTAGAACTTCTTCCGTTTGCGATGATCATGGTAGATACTTTCGTGCATTCAGAGTTCCCACAAGATCTACTCCAGTAAATTACTTTCGTCTTGAACGATCATCGTCACTGTCAGAAGAACGGCGCCTCTTTTTGTTCCTCGAACCACTCTTCCTCCGCCGATGATCATCACTACTTTCACTCTCCAAATCACTCTCCGACTCATTTGTTTTCCTTGATCGGCCGTTAGCCCTCGACTTCCGATCATCATGACTGTCGACATCGCTCTCCGCCACCTTAGATTTCCTAGAGCGACCATTCTTTGAACGATCATTTCTTTTCCTCTTCGGATCATCGTCACTGCTTTCACTGTCGATATCGCTCTCCGTCACCTTCGACTTCCTTCTGCGACCATTCTTTGAACGATAACTTCTTGTCCTCTTCCGATCATCGTCGCTGCTCTCGCTCTCACTTTCACTCTCGCTGTAAACTCTCTTCTTTTTCATCCCACGACTACTTCTCTTTCTCCGATCATCATCACTACTCTCACTATCAACATCACTCTCCTCGCTGCTGGTATCAGACGGAGAATCACTTTCGCTCTCGCTTTCACTCTCACTGCTGCTCTCCTTCGGCTTCGACTTTCGCTTCTTTCGCCCTTCCTCACCAGCTTTTCTAGACGCAGTTTCACGCAGTACATCCCGCTGCAACGCCCTTGGGTCTACCAAAACTTCCTCGGGCTCCATGAGCTTTGGCCGCAGCTTAGGGTTTGCGAGCTGCTGAGTCCGAGTCGGACGGGAAATATAAACCCTGTCGTTCTTGCACTCATATGTCCAATGCCCCATCTGAAAACACTTCTGACACTGCTGTGAACCCCCGAACACCCCAGCACCACCCGACTTTGCATCCTTCCTGACTCCTAATTTTACGGCCTTCTCTGTACTCATCAAATACATCTGCCGCTTGGCTTCCTTCCGCTCCTGCCATCGACTCGGCCCTTCCTCCTTCTGTCCATACGCGTTCACGTTCCGCGCCGCGGCAGCCGCTGCTCTCTCCGCCTGCGTCCTGCTCAACCCCTTCGCAGCACTCAACGCAGCTGCCTTAATCCTATCCGCCGCGGCTGCTGCGGCATCCGCCTTCTCTTTCTTGGACGAAGACATCTCTCTAAACGTTACACCTCCTCCTCCACTCAATCCTCAAACTACACCAAACAAATTTGCTCAAAACCCTAACCCTCAACCATCGTCAGGATCCTCTCCAAAACAATATCACTAGCACGCCTCGCGTGGATTCCAAGCGCACCGACGACCACAGACGCAAACCCCTATTATATGCGATTCCTGGAGCTGAGAGGGGACGTCGAAACACAAGTGAAAGAGCCACAATCTCGAACTCGGAAGCATCTACAACAATTAACAATCTAAGCCACCAGGCTCCCTAAAAAACTACGAAACCAAAACGGACAGCTCTCCATGCTTGCTTGCCCAGAAGAAGCTTTTGGGTTCTCGCCAGAGCTTCATTGTAACTTTCATGTCCATTGCTTGTGAAATAAATTTGTGCATTGTTCACATCATTCCTTTCTTTATGGATGCCTTTTCTCGTTTTCTTGAAAGTTTTTGTCACCAAAGGTTGTTATGATATTTTTTCATGTGATTAGGCTGTGATTGAGTTGTCTCTTTCACTTTAATTTTTTTAACTCTTAAAACAAAACTTAACGGTGTTTACATCGCTTGCATGTGTGTGAATTTTATAATGCTTGTTAAACCTTGAACAGATAAATCTTCAGTTGGAATATATATATTTATATTTATATACACATATATATGTGTAGAAAAGTAGTAAAAGAATTTGGTTTCATATGAGATCTAAGTTTAACAGAGTACCCCCATTTTCTAATGTGATAGTAAATGTTATATGGTTTTGATATTCTTATTCAAAAAAAAAAAAAAAAAAAACAAACAAACAAACAAACTCAGCTACAGTGACAAACAAAACCGAGTACAAAATCTGAAGTGCCAACTTTCAAGAGCAATTACAGAAATTTCAATGATTGCTTTATAAATCTGAAAGTTACATGGAATAATACACACATTGATTTTTCATCCATGTAGAGGACTGGATGAATACACACAATAAAAAAGTAATTCTATCAATTGACTTATGTGTCAGTTGGAAGGATCAATGAACTATGAGTGTTCAGATTTTGTACTCGATTTTGTTTGTCACTGTATATCATGCTTTAAAAATTACACATCTTGTTTGTTGTTATAGATTTAAAGAAGTGATGATAAATTATTGTCAATAACATTGTTATACAAAATTAATTTTATTTTTTTACATATGTATTAATTATGATCTCAATTTCACAAATTTGTTGTCATTTATAACATGATATATTCTTTGTGTTATATTTTGATTATGTTTTGATTACTTATTAGAATAAAAAATTCACATGTTATTCAAATAATATTTCTTGTAGTCTTTATGACAAATATTTTTCTTATTAGATGATCAAAATTATTGTATTCTTTTTACTTAGTTTGAAACCATTTACTCACTTAGATATAAAAAATTAAGCAATAATGAAATTAAAATTTTCTTTATTAAAAATAGAAATTAAAAAAGAATTAGATTATATATTTATATATATATATATATATATATATATATATTGAAAGAAGCATTATCTCACAGACATATATATTTACTCTAATATTTACTTATATAATTAATCAAAAGTAGATAAAAGCAGATTTATTTCTTAATATTTTCTAGAAAAGCTTCATGGATGCTACTTTGACTTTACATATGTTTGTAGTTGATTAGTAGGTTAAAAATTTGGTCAACAAGTTAACCACTTGTTGGTAGCTTATGTAACAAGGTAATTATGTGGTGCATATATAAGAAACTTATCTTGTAAGTTAAGATACATTGTTGTATTATGTGAAGTCTTGCTTGAGAATGCACTAGATACTTGGCTGTGAAAGGTAGAAGGGAAATTGCAACAACAAGATCCTAACAACTCTAATAGAATCCTAAATAAGCTCCAATTAAATCTTACTAATGCTAATCAAGCTTTAATCAAATCCAAAAAAAAAAATCTTAAAGAAATTACAAAAGAAACATGAAAGATTCCTAAAGAACTATTAGAGAAACCTTAAATAAATCTTAAATAAATCCTAACCAAATCCTATTTTAGTCCTAATTGAAATCCTAATGGATCTTAATTAAATCCTAAGTCAATTCTTAACTAAATCTTAAACCAAATCCTAAACAAATTCTAAATCCTAAACCAATTCTAAATCCTAAACCAAATGCTAGATAAATTAACCTAATTCTAAGGCAGTTTAGAACCTCAATAACTATTGATTATACAGTTGATCTTACTTAAGATTTTATACACCTCTCAACAACTAAGTTGGCAATAAGTACAGAAAATTTGAAGAAGTTCGAACTTACAAAATAGAAGATTAATCCTAAATTCTGCTCAGGTGTTGGCTAGCCTTCTACTCCATTCTAAATGTTGAACTTCTAGCATCAATATTTCCTTCTTAAATCGTTGAATTATTCCCAAAATTCAACTAAATTCCTAGAAATCAAATCTTGTTTCCACAAAAAAAATTCACTTTAATCCAATTGATGGATTGCTAATGATCTTAAAAATATTTGCTAATCCTCAAATTCTAATTTTTGAGACCTCAATCCACAAAAACCTTTAAACACTTCAATCTAACCATTCGATTGATGTCAAAATTTTCACACATTTACAACTAGCACACCAATATTCTACCCAAAATTTATCTATATATATACCAGAGAACTCAAGAGATCTTTAATTTTGTAAACATAGTTTTATTTTTCAAAATCTAATCCAACCAAGAACATTAATAACTTTAAAAATTTTCCAAAAACTGAATATTAACTCAACTGATATAAAACTAATGCACAAAAATCTCTTTACAAGTTTTTTGTCAAATCCCACTCTCTGATCTACCAAAGAACTCTGGAGTCACTGTAGTACATGGTTTTGTGCCTCAAGATCTGATTTCAACCTTGGTTGACAACTGATCTTCCTTGGATATCAATATTTGGTAATTTGAGGTAATTTTTGTTTGAACCTATTAGTAAATTTCTTCTAAATATGTCTATTCCAATTAATTATCTTATTTACTTTAATTTGAGGTATTTATGTCATTACAAAGCAAATAGAAGCATCTTTTTAAAAATGTAGCATTAAAACTAAACCTTTTATTACCTTCCTATTATTTATCATTATTTTTTTACTACATATTTCTACTAGGCTCTTTTATAATAACATCTATATTTTCATTTTTTATCATATATTTGTGTTACTACATGATAATGTGTCTTATAAAGTCAACACGTTTTGAAAGTCCTATGAGACATGGCCATATAGCTCCTAATTAAGAGTATATGTAGAGGCAAGAGTGAAGCTTTTTTTCACTCTTGTTGACATTGTTCTAGTCCTTAGTCTTGTTCCAAAACGTTCTTATCTTCTTGTCTTTCGTAGTAGCCATTCTAATTTAATAATGTATCATCTTTGAGTGATTTTTTAGTCTTTTTGAGTGATCCAAGAATATATTGATATTTTAGTTATTTGAGGTTCATGTCCTTGACACATTGTTGTATTTTGTAAAAACTAACTTGAAAATGCATTGGACTTCTAATTGTGGAAAGATTTGAACTTACCTTGAAGTTTGATTTATAATCCATAATAATAAATAAGGTGTTTAGAAACATCTTTTTGCATTCTCAAACAATCAAAGTAAGCTTATAATTAACTTCAGTATATTTTATAAAAATCAAAAGAATTTTAAATAAATATTATCACATTCTAATAAATTATAAAATGATTCTTAAATAATTTTAACATACTTTTATTGAACTCCAATCAAATTCTAATCCGATTCTAAACAAATCTTAACCAAATTTTAATCAAATCCTAATTCAATCTTAATCTAATCCTAAATTCTAAATCAAATCTTAATGAAATTTTATTCAAATTGAAATCCAATTTTAATCAAATAAAATATTAATCAAATCCTAAATCCTAAACTAAATTCTAATTAATTTTCAATCAAATTTAAATTATAAATAAATTTGAATCAAACCTTAATAAAATCTTAAATTCTAAAAAAAATCCAAATGAAATCTTAATCAAATTCTAAATCCTAAATAAATTCTATTTAAATCTTATTAAAATCCTAAATTCTAAATCAAATCTAATAAAATCCTAATAGTATTTTAAATCCTAATTAAATTCTAAATCCTAAATAAATTCCAATCAAATTCAAATTCTAAATTCTAGAACAAATCTAATGAAATTCTAATCAAATCTTAAATCCTAAATCAAATTCTAATGAAACTTTAATTAAATCTTAGATACTAAACAAACCTAAATTAAATCTTAATAAAATCCTAAATCCTAAATCAAATTATATAGAAGATTAAAAATTTAATAACTAATAATTTATCCATTGATTTCAATTCAATTCTTTTTTGCCTCTTAATTACTTAGTTGACAATAAGCACAAAAACTTTGAAAAATATCAAACTTATCAAATAGAATCGACTAGAATATTAGCTAGTCTTTTTGTCCAACTTTAATATCGATCTCTTGGTGCTAATATCACTTGATTTTATTGTCCAATTGCTCTCAAACTTTGAAAAATTCTTAAAAAACAAGTCTTTTAGTGAACAAAACTTTATTTTAATCCAACTAGTAGATTTCTCAAAATCTTAGGAATCTTTATAGATCTTCTAATTTCCAAGATTTTAATACACTTGAATTTTAATAATCTTTAAATAAACCATTTGATCAAGTTCAAACTTATAATAAAAATTTTATAAAACTATGATTAGATAACTATAAAATTTCATTGTCGATCAACTTTCAAAATAATATAATTTTCAAAAGTATAAATCTTTTACATTTTTTTAAAAAAAATAGTCATGCTAAACAATATTAACTTTACAAAGTATTGACAAAGTTGTTACAAATTCAAAAATAACTTTAAATCAATGTCTAAAATACATAATTTTAGTTTGCTCTTAGATTTGATTGCTTAGTTAAATAAAAAAAATCCCAAAATTCTTGTGGATGGATGGTTTTGTGCTTTGGAATCTCATAACAACCTTGATTTATAAGTAATTCCTTTTGGATATAAATTCTTAGTTTTTTAAGATAGTTTTTGCTACAAATTATTCTTAAATTCTTCCTAAAAATTCCAATATTAGTTTTTTTATTTACTTTATTTTATAATAAACTTCTATTTATTTTATGACTATATAAAGTAAATAAAAGCTTATTTTTTAAAGTTTCAATATTAACACTTATTAATTTTTTTACTTCCTTGAATATTACCTATATTTTAAGATAATTTTTCATACTAATTTTAATTAAATTCTTGTATATTATAATTTTTTTTTTATTTTTTATCTAATAATTGTATTATAACATAAGAATATTAAAGAAGTTAGAAAATGAAAACAAACTAAATCGAAGATAGAA